CAAATCTTGAAATATATTCCTGTGTTCCGCCGAGACCGCCAATTTGGAGATATTTTCTTGTGTTTGAAGTCATATATCAAGTTTGGCACATAGAAATTCGCCCAAACTTGCACGGATTATCCGTCTTATAGCCATGTAACTATCAAGAAAGTTTAATGAAAATCTATCAGTTCGATCTCGAAATATATGCCTGTATTCCGTTAGAAACCGCCAATTTGGAGATATTTTCTTGTGTTTGAAGTCATATCTCAAGTTGGCACATAGAATTTCTCCAAAAGAGTTTTGGCAAAACTTTCACACATTATCCGCCATATAACCATGTAACTATTTCAAAAGTTTAAAGAAAATCTATCGGTCAGATCTTGAGAAAATTGAAAATATATTATAAGTTATTCACTAAAACACTCGATTTTCGACCAATCCATATTATGGTACATTTTTGTCGAAAGTCTGAATTTCGGTAACAAATAAGGACTTAATTTGAGTTTACTGCACGCGCGATGAATAATTTGTGTTTATAGAGATCTGCGGCGCGTTATCAGGTTAACCAATGAAATCACGGCGTTTTTGTCACGTGACAGTCGAGTGTAGAGTGATTAATTATCATCCATAATGATTTAATATTGTTGAATAAAAAGATTTGAATATAATATTTGTTTTATTCTGAAAAAAAAATAATATTTGTTATATTCTGAATTATTTTACGATTATAATTATATTATTATATTATCACCCGTCAACTATTTTTAGAAACGAGTCCACTAACAATAAATGCAATCAATTTTAAACTTAACTAAAAGGTGTTATTATTTTTGTTTAATTGACGATGTCCTTTCATCTCAGCTCGGCGCGGCACAGCAGCGCATCTCGCCGATCTAAAGAGGTTGCTGTGAGAAGCCTCATTGAGTGCGCGGCGCGGCACAGTAACGCATCGCGCTACAATATTTTTGTCTTAAAATGTAATTTAATAAATATTTGTCATATAATACGTTGTATGACCAGCCGCGCAAGAGTGCGCGGCTCCCCCTGTATCGTTGAAACGACAATGGGGTCACGACGTGATACAATGCTTTACCTGGGGACCTCAGGCATCAGGCTATTATATTTATGCTCATAATCATAGAGATTTGGCGGAATGATCGACAGGCTGAGCGCCGCCCAGTATAAATTGTCATACGTTGTATGACCCGCCGCGCACGAAGTGCGCGGCTCCCCCTGTATCGTCAGGACGTCTATAGTGAAGCGACCATGGGGGTCACAACGTGATACAAGTAATATATATATATTTATATATATATATATGCTAAGTTTATTATATTGTTTAAAGTTTTAATGTTTAAGTGCAAAAGTGGTTAATAGTGTGGTTGGTTTTATCCGATTATTTTAGATTTTTATGGAGGTTGTACCATTGTAAAACTTACATTGTGACAGTATAGATGGCGAAATATTTTTGAAAATGGTCCTTACACAGCTTTGATAGTAACAATAACATTGGGTGAATAGATTGGGTGAACAAACTATGAAGCAGGCAATTATATGTGCTCATCCATCATTCTGCATATGTAAGCACAGTAGTTTAATTGCTGATTCATACTAAATGGTGACTCGATAGTAGTCATGTGAGGGAGATCACGTGACAACACCTTCTCATAATTATAGCCCTCAGGATCGCATTGCAGGTTACGTTCACCGTAATGTGTATTGAGTTGACATACGTTGCATGCCACTTTTCGCGCGCGAAGCGCGCGCCGCCGAAGGCGGAAAAAGGGGCATACCATAAAGGGAATCGGACTTTTTAGAGGGACGCATATTCTGCGTCCCTATTATCCTATTTGACCAAATATGGGAGTAATTGACTGAGATGGCGCGCGCGCCACCAAAACAGTTAAATGCATTGTTTTTAACCATGTTGCAATATTTTTGAGTTTACTTGGTATCTTTGTAGTATTTTTATTATCTAAACGACTATATTAAGTCATTAGAACCTTCATGCAAACAAAAATTGAATTTTTTCAATATTTCTGTAAACTGAAAACTTGTAATTTTGTTCCAAACTGCTTAATTTTTGTACTGCGCTACTAATTCATGAAAAACGCGCTATATTTATATTTCGCATTGGATATATAGATGACCAATGATGTCGTGGTATTAAAGTTATGTGACACCGCGATGAGCTAGCTGGCGTCTAGCTGCCTAAGATCATATCTATGCTTTCTCCTTTGTCCTTTTTATCACTCGATAGCGGTAACTCTTTACACATGCTTTTTTGTACAACCTGTTGTTCAATTTGTTTAACATCTCTCTGGTTATTGCAAACCACTTCAATCCCCAAATTTATACATCTAACCATCTCTCTGGTTGCTTTCATCTCGTTAAAGCCAAGGCTCGACCGGGACCGCTTTTTTGGGGCTAATATTAAATACTAGTGGACTCTATAATGCAGCTCTTCCAGCACCCCTAATTTTACTGATCTGGAGGTCACATTTTATTGAGCCAGTACAGGCTAATATTAAATACTAGTGGACTCTATGCAGCTCTTCCAGCACCCCTAATTTTACTGATCTGGAGGTCACATTTTATTGAGCCAGTACAGGCTAATATTAAATACTAGTGGACTCTATGCAGCTCTTCCAGCACCCTTAATTTTACTGATCTGGAGGTCACATTTTATTGAGCCAGTACAGCCTAATATTAAATAATAGTGGACTCTATGCAGCTCTTCCAGCACCCTTAATTTTACTGATCTGGAGGTCACATTTTATTGAGCCAGTACAGGCTAATATTAAATACTAGTGGACTCTATGCAGCTCTTCCAGCACCCTTAATTTTACTGATCTGGAGGTCACATTTTATTGAGCCAGTACAGGCTAATATTAAATACTAGTGGACTCTATGCAGCTCTCCCAGCACCCCTAATTTTACTGACCTGGAGGTCACATTTTATTGAGCCAGTACAGGCTAATATTAAATACTAGTGGACTCTATGCAGCTCTTCCAGCACCCCTAATTTTACTGATCTGGAGGTCACATTTTATTGAGCCAGTACAGGCTAATATTAAATACTAGTGGACTCTATGCAGCTCTTCCAGCACCCTTAATTTTACTGATCTGGAGGTCACATTTTATTGAGCCAGTACAGGCTAATATTAAATACTAGTGGACTCTATGCAGCTCTTCCAGCACCCTTAATTTTACTGATCTGGAGGTCACATTTTATTGAGCCAGTACAGGCTAATATTAAATACTAGTGGACTCTATGCAGCTCTCCCAGCACCCCTAATTTTACTGACCTGGAGGTCACATTTTATTGAGCCAGTACAGGCTAATATTAAATACTAGTGGACTCTATGCAGCTCTTCCAGCACCCCTAATTTTACTGATCTGGAGGTCACATTTTATTGAGCCAGTACAGGCTAATATTAAATACTAGTGGACTCTATGCAGCTCTTCCAGCACCCCTAATTTTACTGATCTGGAGGTCACATTTTATTGAGCCAGTACAGGCTAATATTAAATACTAGTGGACTCTATGCAGCTCTTCCAGCACCCTTAATTTTACTGATCTGGAGGTCACATTTTATTGAGCCAGTACAGGCTAATATTAAATACTAGTGGACTCTATGCAGCTCTTCCAGCACCCTTAATTTTACTGATCTGGAGGTCACATTTTATTGAGCCAGTACAGGCTAATATTAAATACTAGTGGACTCTATGCAGCTCTCCCAGCACCCCTAATTTTACTGACCTGGAGGTCACATTTTATTGAGCCAGTACAGGCTAATATTAAATACTAGTGGACTCTATGCAGCTCTTCCAGCACCCCTAATTTTACTGATCTGGAGGTCACATTTTATTGAGCCAGTACAGGCTAATATTAAATACTAGTGGACTCTATGCAGCTCTTCCAGCACCCCTAATTTTACTGATCTGGAGGTCACATTTTATTGAGCCAGTACAGGCTAATATTAAATACTAGTGAACTCTATGGAGAGTGGAGTCTATGCAGTATTATATGCAATTCTGTTTTAGAGAGTGAATTTATTTAAAAAAGGTCTCACCCTCTAAAAAACTCCCGATGGAGATGTTTCTATTAATTTCATATTGGAAAACTTTTCATTGTGTTTGACCTCAACTTAGATGTATTTGTTTTTTTGCTATTATTTAGCAACTCCAATTCTCTTTTTAACTTCATTTTAGGTATGTGTGTGAAACATCAGAACTGAATAATGGACCAGAGAATTCAGAGATCTTTGGTTACTTGTTTCCGGTTTCGTCGTACACATTGCTGGGTTCCTGACCTAGCTTCGCCTGCATCAGTAGATCATATTATAATATGCATTATAGACTATAGTTATACAGCTTGAATTTGAAAGAGCTACATGGTCGTTGTTTCGAGTGCTTTTTCATCTGCTGTGATGAATTGGCAGACAGCATCAACGATTACCAACATAATAGGTGCATTGCAAGTTGTGCAGTGCAATGCTGAATGCATACGTTTTGTCAGTGGCTTCCTTCTGCCTCATTGATGCGAAACCGATAATAAACATGCAAGAGTATCAAAACTCTGTCTTCATCAGTGTAACTCTACATTTCTCTCAGTAGTTATTCTCCCACTCAGTATTAACTCTCTGTCTTCATAAGTATTATTCTACATTTCCCTCAGTAGTTACTCTTCCACTCAGTATTAACTATCTGTCTTCATCAGTGTTACTCTATATTTCCCTCGGTAGTTATTCTCCCACTCAGTATTAACTCTCTGTCTTCATCAGTGTTACTCTATATTTCCCTCAGTAGCTACTCTCCCACTCAGTATTAATTCTCTGTATTAACTCTCTAAATAAATTATGACAATTATGTTAGTTATAGAATTTGTTTGTTTTTTAATGACGAAGGCTGTTCACAGTTCTGATAATGAGGATATCAGAAAGAATGTTTAAAACTAGTGATGATGTTTATGTCATTATTCTTAATCTAATCTAATCTAATCTGTGCTTTGCTGCAGGTGCTTGTCACATGCCTTAGGCTAGGATGTCTCAATCCAAGAGGAATGTCTCCGGTGTGTGGACATTCTTTACTGTGCCAGATCCTGGAGGAAGTCCATATTCGGAGTGCTTGGCTTCTATTAGACTGGGAAAAACAGGCCAAGCGGCCGCCGGCCAAGGATTTCCAGGTATAATACTTTTGTTTTCTAGAAAATTACTTTGAGTTATACTGCCGTTTTCTCAGAAAAGGCAGTAAGTCCAAATTTTCGAAATATGACAATATTGGTATCAAAATTTTCAGTAGAAAATTCTCTACAACATGAGCTACATATTAATGTATAGAAACATTGTTGCATGCAATTCCTAAGGAAGTAAGTCCCTGTTGAGAAACATTATGTTCGGTTTTGGCCAATTATTTTCTGAGAGAAGGACGTAAGTCCGGACTTACTGCCTTTTCTGAGAAAATCTTGAAAATTTTCTGAGATAAGGAAGTTATTCCGTGGACTTACTGCCTTTTCTGAGATAAATTATTTGTGATAGGAAGAAGTAGCTGGACTTACTTCCTATAAAAGCATGCTAAAAACGGAATTTTAGAAAGCGATTTCCCAAAAAGAACATAACTTTACTGCCGATTGATATTTTCGCTTGAAATTTTCAGAATCGATGTATGATTACATTTCAACCTTACGTGAGTGATCAAAATTTTCATTTAGGCCTCAAAAAAAATTTGGTGGCCGATTTTCAAAAACGTCGGATGTATTTTAGTCGCAAAACATAAACATTGGAGCAGTTATTGAGCTGTTATAATCGCAGAAAATGTTTAGTTTAGGTATATCTTTTAGATCAAGTTCATTTTCATCAAAATATCGATAAGATACCATTTAATGCACTGAAATCGTTCAAAATTGGCGAGTTTGCCTAAATAAGGGCATACTATTATTCAAAAACATTTATTATATGATATGGAGCAATTTAGATTTACCTAATTGTTTATATTTTACAATATAATCCAAAATACATAGATCCCAACCTCAAAAATTTAGTAAAAAGCTTGGACTTACTTCCTTCTCAGAAAAATATTGAACAGAGATTTTTCTCAGAAAAGGAAGTAAGTCCACGTTTTCTCAGAAAAGGCAGTAAGTCCATCCAGTATGAAAAATAAGTTCGATTATTTGGCATAAAAATGGTTATATCTAAGCTTATGGACGGCTCAAAGCTTTAATTTTTTTGACAAATTAAAATTTAACTAATTATTGATAACTCAACGTGTTTACTTTCGATCTTACGCAAAAAGTAAGCGGAGAAAAAACCATAAACGCAAAAGTCGCAATATCTCGAGATGGCAAATATGGACTTACTGCCTTTTCTGAGAAAACGGCAGTATATTTATAACAATTTAGGAACCTTTAGCCACAATATTTTTATAACGACTAATGTGCAGTCAATCGTGGACTCTAGCTGGAAAGGAACCAGCAACTATGAACAATCGATATGACTATCAAAATTACTAAATAAAGCTTATCCAGGTAACCATTTGATGGGATCATTTGAAACATAAGCACCCTTCTAAACACAAGGAAGCAACTGCAATACGTGAATCACAGAGGGTCAAGACTCAAGAGACAAAAGTCTGATGAAGTCGAAGCTGAGCGGAGATCGATGTATCAACTGACAACATCTAATCAGCCCACACTGGGGGCAGTCTGGAGCGGCGCCACTGTTACTAGACTGATGAACGTCAAAAAGATCTAAAAAGTTGCTCCTGAAATGGATTATTGATCAGATGCTCTCTACACGACTGTTGAGAATGAACATTTTCAACAGTTTGTTGACGGTAAGATTCATTTGGGACGTTTTTAATAACTTAGCTCAATAACAAAACAACTTTTCTAGGCTCGAGCTGTGATGACTCCAGATTACAATTCCAATTGAGTTCTTTGTGATGATAAAATTTATTGCTATTAAGTAAATTAGCAGCAGATTGACAATCATATGTTGGATAATCATTTACAGATAAATTAAGATCATCTGACTTCCGGCTCATTCAGGTTTGAACAAGAAGTTTGACATACCCTCAGAGAAGGTGGTGCGCACAAAACTGTTTCCTGAATTATATAATAGAGTACAGTTTAAACTGAAGAAATTTATTGACTGAAAGGAGCTGATTACAGTCTGAGCTGTGATGTTTGGTTGTCAAAAGCGCTGGATTCCTATTTGGGGGTCATAATACACTTCGTAACTACAAACTTCGAAAGAAAAGTTATTGTACTGAGATGCCTTCCCTATAACCGAGCACATACCGGTAAGTTCTATCGTTAAATCTGAATAAATTAGCTCATATATATATCTAATTTGTGTCATTTCTAACCCCATGATCAAAGTTCAAACTCAGAACTCAGGACTGCCAATGCCATATCCATATAGATTGTAAAATTCGAAATACATGCTCATTTCGAGTTCATCAGAGTGCGCTTAGCTTTTTGATAGTAGAAAATATTAACCGTTAGCTGCCCACATAGTTTCTAATTACAAATTATTACGTGACTCGTTAAAGAACAATGTGTCATTTGTACTGCAGGCATGGGGTCTGTCCGAAGAGAAACTTCACTGCGTTATCAGCGACACTGCTTCGAACATGAAAAAGGGTTTGTCCGCCTGGATCCTGTTTTCTCCATCTACTGAATCTCATCGTAAAGAATTCTGTTTTTCTCAAAGTGGAGTTAACCGGCTTATCAAAAAGATCAAGAGTCTTATCAAGGAGTTTAGAACCCCTGCAGGTGAGAATCACTACATTTACCTTAGGTTTTCTGTTTGATGATTTCATTGTCACATACTTAATCTGATAATAACGGCTGATTCAAAATATTTTCTTAATGAAATGTACACATTAATAACGTTTGATTAAAATGTTGCCGTAGGTACATGTTCGTTGAGTGACATAATCTTGGCAAAAATATCATTGTTACGACTTGCGTTTATCATTTCTTAACTATCATATGTTAAACTATCCCGCACATGCAGGTAAACGTCTACTGAATGAAAATCAAGCAGTAGAGGCAACTCTCATCAGACCAGTTGCAGTGGACACGAGATGGAACAGTTATTACATGATGTTCCAGGCCTTTCAGAATAAAAAATATGCAATAACAATCACCGCTCAAAATGCAGAGTTATCGTTGTCTGCATCTCAACAGGTCAGTTTACATGCAGCTCTTTTGACTCATCTCTCATTTTCTGAGTAGCACTAGTTAACATCAAGTTTAGAGAATCAATGTCCCTGGAATGTAACTGGAACAAATTCTTGTCCGCTGGACTTCCTAATTTCTAGCTCACTTCTCAATGTACAGGCTAAGTATTGATCAACTGAATTTTGCAGATGACTCCTCACGATTGGGATCTTCTGACCAAAGCTATTGCGGTACTGAAGCCATTCTACATCACCACAAAAGCGGCGGAGGGGGACATGGTTTCTGTTTCGGAGGTTATCCCAAATATAAAGAAACTGGATTACGCTATCAGGAGCATATCCTCAAGTGGAGTCGGAACTCTGAAACCCACGCTGCTTTCCGAAATGTAAAACCAAGTATGTGATATATGAACTTGCAAGTGACCCATGCAACAACCATGTCACCATGTGGTCAAATATTCATTTTTAACCTCCGGTTTGTGCTACCAAGCATTGATTCAGGCGTTATTGGTCGCTCTGCATGTCGTTTTAAGTTACTTTTCAAATACATCCTAATGTTGGGGTTTTTATAAGCTATTAATATAAAAGAAATATTTTTGGGTATGCAAACAAATCAACAATCATGGATTGCCTGTACAGTATCTTTACGTATCATCTAATGATCTATTGTGACATAATATATTTCAGGAGACTGAAGAAATCCAAAGATAGTGCAGCGATCTAAAGAGAATGAGTTAGAAGACCTTCGAAATCTGAAAGTGGAGTCGCTCTACCTTGACGGGAGAAAAGATGCAGCATTGTGATGAGCTTAGGATCGACATTCGACAACTCGCCACTAAGATCTTGTGGCTGTTACGCCACTAACGTCAACACCGGACGTCACAATGGGATTATAGCCCTCTTAGAGAAGAATTTTGGATGGGAATTGCAAAGATTTATTTGGTGCCTTTATAGACCTGCCATTAAAACATTTAAGGGGTTCTGAGTCCTGAACTGTCGAGAGAACGAATTGGTCCTCTCAGCCACGCAAGGTGGATTATAATGCAGTAGAGTTAGTTATATTATCAATATTTACTTACCGCTTGATTTGAATATGAAGTATAAAAGCTCATTCCGAGTTGTGTTCTATGAGTAAGCTAGATGGTAGCATATTTATTTTAAAGGGATTAGATTTATTTATGTTTTGTTTTAGAACCATCTACTTCTGAGCTGCCCTGTCAAAATTAAAAGGGTGTATAGGTTGTCCCGGCAAAAGCCTCCTTAAATTATTAATGGACGATCCTAAAGACCGTAATTTGGTCATGAACACTTCAGAAGAATTGAATGAAATAAAGGATATTGCCCGCTGTAAACAATGTCGGAGGAACCGTTATTGTAGCTTTTGCCCATTTTACGGTGTGAAGATGTTTTTACCATGGTAAATTCGGTACACGTACTCAAGTTCGACACGCACTGTAGTTCGTCACTTACTGTAGTTCGACAAACCCTGAGGTTCGACTCTGTCGAACTAAAGTGCTCTATCAGGACTCAAGTTCGATACGCACTAAAGTTAGACAAGAGAACTTTGACTGTCGGACTACACTTTTGAAATCTCCAATATCCAGCAACGATCCTTTACGAGCTTGAAATCTATTCGTTTGTTTGTTTTCCACTTCTCTCATGCTGTTCAATTATGTGTTTATATAATTTCTATAATCCATATCTATGGACATTTAATTGACCTCTTATAGTAGAGGCTCTTACGGGCAAATAAGGCACTCTTCTGCTGGAGCCCCTAGGCTCCTGGGATGATTGTTTTATGGACTAGTAAGTAGTGCCGCATCGATAGCCGATCTCAGATGCCACTATGGAGGCTGTATAGCCATGTGCTGACGGTTATTTGCTTTTTTCCGCGCACCTCGCTAAATCACAAAATACCCGCTCGAATTTGATTTCAAAATATTCACAAAACTCCTAGATACCTACTTGACGATATTACGTAGCCAGATTTACCTCTGTTGCCTATCTCTTGGTGTTATGACTATTCAAAGTTTCAGATTGTCACGTGACACATTATGTCACAGTAAATGCGCGCAAGAAAAACTTTCACACATATTTTTGATTCGGCGCAAGCGCGTTCCGCACAATTACTACAAAAAGAACCAGGGTTTTTCCCGACGAGTAATACTACTATACGTAATTTATTACTATGTGTGATACGAATGGTAACGAAACTTGTATCATAAGAAACAGTGATTTAAAAACAAGCTGCTATGATAAATGTTGCTATAAATCAGTAAGCACTACCTCGATGTAAGCATATTAGCGGTCGTTCACATAATACGGAATCACCGAGAGGGGGGGGGGGGGGGGGGGTCAAATTAAACGTTGTTCAGGACGTGATTACGTAATATGTCAACGATCCTGTAAGAACATTACATTAGCCGTTACATAACATACATTGAGTTTTACGGGGCTAAATTTGAACTTTAACAAGTTCTCTGTTTGTTGGCATAACAAATACACCATTTGCAGCTTTAAATGTGACAGTGATCAGTGACGGGGAAGATGTAAAATAACATTTAGTGATTTAGTCCGCCGCATTTCCCTAACACCCAGTTTGGAATTTGGATCTTATGTCATGGTCAGTGTAATAAATTCCAACGAATCTTTAGACTAATATCCACCAGGTTCTGAAAATAGCACTTTCAGCTGCTTTAAAACATAAGCTATTTCTAATTTTCGATCTGACTGTAACTTCGTCGATTAGGCGAGGTTTTACAAGATAAAAAACTTTCATATGCCCCGTTTTAAACATCAAACTGTATTTTAATGTAATTAACAATGTAATAAAAACCATTTGTTTAATCAGAACTAAAAATGTCATAGCTGAAATCGATGGATCAGTCTGATAAAAGTTGAAACTGGTATAACGTGCTTCAAACCCCGGGTTGACACTTGGCCGTAAATCTGTGTTTGACATCTAGAGTTCTAAAGCTTACACACAAGAATTTTAGCAAACGCAATGTATTAAGAGAATACAACGTCAGAGAATTAAATTACAAAGAATACAAAAGTAATGTCCACAATCATTGATATAAACAAGATGGATGTTGACGTCTTATTCGCTGAAGGTACTTTTGTAGAGTATAGCTGTGAAGTAAGCTTAATTCCTTTATCCTTCCCTAGACCGTCCTCCAATCTGAAGTTATACAATTGTTATGCAATCTGAATTCTGAAGTTGTAGCAATTCGACTTCTAAACACCTTTCCTTTCTGTCAATATTTCAACAGCAGGATAATTCTGTGATATAATAGTATGAAACACTCAGAATTGTAACCACAAGTCTATATTTATGAAAAGAATCTAGACTTGTGGTTAAAATTCTGAGTCTCTTTCTGTCCTCTGAAGCATGTCGGTACCACGTGACCTCACCTATTATGTTTTAAAGACCCGAGGGCCACACTAAAGGGCTTTGAAACCGGTTTATTGAATACAATATAATATAAAAATAAATAAAACTGCAATCGTAACATTCATGTCGATACTAACTGAAATAATATAATCTGTAGTTAAAATAATAATACTGTCACTTAATTAAGATATATGATATAGGTAATAAAATAAATATCTCTTTTATTTCCACACTAATTCTCACACCAAGCTTTAATTCACACACCAAAACTTTAAATTTTATCAGATTACAAATGTCCTAATATATACGTCTCTTATCTTTAGTTAAAAAGTCAGGGGTGCAGCCGTTGTACTTCAATTAAAATAATTGATCACGCCGGATCACGATGTTATTTTATCAAAATCAGCTAGCCGTTTAGAATTGATTGCTGAGCTCTGTGCAGGCTGTGTGTGGTACTGTGTAGTGGGTGTGTGTGTGTGTGTGTCTGAAGTGAGCGGTAACAGTCCTTGTGAGTGGTTGTTATTATGATGCGCTGAGATCAAGTTGATGATATATTATGTGATTGTGCGTGTTGTGCTGATAAGGCTTTGATTGAGCGATGTTACAGTTTTTGAAAATAAACACATTGCACGAGCACATAAAAGTGTTTTATAAACATTACAGTAATGTGTATCTTTTTTCGCTCTTGTGAGTGGGTCCATCATATTTCATTTTTGGGGACGAAGTGAGAGTCTCCTACAATCAAATATTAGCATATCGCATTGCACTAGATGATATCAGAGTTGAAGTATTAAATCAGATTTCGGAGCGTACAGACTACAGGGTGTTCAAAAATATTGCAAGGATGTACTTTTGAATAACTCTTTATCCACTAGGATTGCCGACTAGGATCAGCTACTACAAAAGTAAACTGCAGTTTAGACAAATGACTTGTCTAAACTTGATTTTGTGAAAAGTTATTGGTAGTTCTAAGGTTTAATGGCTAATTTTGAGTTATGTTTTTCTCGAAGAAATATGGGCAATTTATTCCATGGTCCTATATGGCTGATGGCACACCAAACCATAACTTTTTCCTTGGAATTTACTTTGGAAAGACCTGCATAAACAGTGAGCTAGTGAATTGACGATGATTAAAATTGTGAAACAGTACCAAGGATTAGTTAGGTAAATCAACCAAATTTGCCTCGGTTGCTAGGGCACTGATTGTGGTTGCTATGGGGCCATGGCAACGTGTTATCGAGTTATAAGACCTTGATTTTAGAATTTAATCCCACCAAACCTGCATAATATCAAAGATCCCCTGTACTTTAAAGTAATGCTTACGACGTTTGTGAAATCATTCTTAATTGTGAATAATGGAAAAATCAAATAAATGGAATGGAAAATGGTTTCAAAAAGTCGAAAAATGTGACTAAAATTGTTGTAGACTAAAAATTTTCAAAATTATGGTGACCAAATTTATTGTCAACCAAATTTATTGGCCCTAAGGTAATACGAGCACAAGGCTCAGTCTGTTCAATAATAAAAAATACTGACAATAAATCATTGCTTCTAAGTTGGTTGTAATTGTGGAGGAAAGCTTGAAGGTACACAATTAAGAATAACTAATATTAACTAACCAGGTTACAAGTAAGACAGTCAGTTTGTTGCAGAGGTACATCAGTCACAGTCATAGTGTGAACTAAAGCATCTGGCTCTGGTGTCCATCACACTTGTCCACCGACCACTGTAGATTGTAGCACCGCTTCAAATCATCTCCTAAACAGTTTAAAGCTAAAGTAGTTTAAACGAAGAGTAGCGCAATATATTTTTATCAAGAATAGACCACATTAAAATCAATAAAATCTTGGGCTGCAACTTCAAATTGCCACCTCAATCAAAATGAGCACTTGATTCCTACGTGGATAAGAACAATATCCTTTGAGGAGCTATAAAATAATGACATTATACATCTTTCAATATCATACATTTAAAACACTGCGTGGGGAAGTTAAACATAACTTTCGAGATACAAATCGAAAAGTTCAAACATCCAGACAAGATATATTACTATTAAGTATCTGTGCTCCCAAAAATCTTAACAACCCTCTAACACCAGGTTAGTAGCCAGCTGTTACGGTAATAGCCCAGTCCTCTAACAACCCTCTAATAGCCATAACACCACCAGTAGTTATCAGGTATAATCCACGATTCTGCCTTCACTGATTATCAGCCAGTGTCCACAATTATTTAATAAAGGATAACACTACACAGTGTAACTGTATATATATATGATATGATATTTATGATAAATACAATGTATTTAAACATAAAATCGAGGGTTTAGCTGACACCTACATTTCCCTGGTATCATAAGCCACAATTATTTTTTTACATCACACCAGTTATCCCCAATCGATGAAGATCATTTTCCAGATGTCTTGAAAAACTACAGACCAGTGTCAAACCTTGGGAAAACTAATTAAAAGAGAAGGCTACAGGAGCAATGAGCATGTAATGATGACCTCAATTGTCCTGGACAATATGCTTACAAAAGAGATCATATTTCACTTGTTATTAAGATAGTGTTCATGATATCTTCATAGCAGCTGATGAAAATATGAACATATTTCTGTTCTTCAGATTAAGTCAAAACCTTCGTCAACCGACCGAGAAATTATTTCTTGAGGACAAAGAACTGGATGTTTAAATAGGTACCGCGACAATTGACCCCCTGACAATTGACTTCCCGACAATTGACCCCCTAGGTAGTTAAACTGGGGTCAATTGTCTCGAAATCTAGGGTTTAGTACGACAATTGACCCCCGACAATTGACCCCCTATGTAATTACACTGGGGTCAATTGTCACGAAATTTAGGGCTTAGTACGACAATTGACCGCCCGACAATTGACCCCCCAACAATTGACCGCCCGAAAATTGACCCCCCGACAAGTGACCCCCTGACAATTGACCCCCCATGTAATTACACAGGGATCAATTGATTGGGTCAGGGTCAGGGTCAGGGTCAGGGTCAGGGTCAGGGTCAGGGTCAGGGTCAGGGTCAGGGTCAGGGTCAGGGTCAGGGTCAGGGTCAGGGTCAGGGTCAGGGTCAGGGTCAGGGTCAGGGTCAGGGTCAGGGTCAGGGTCAGGGTCAGGCCTCAGGCCTCAGGGTCAGGCCTCAGGGTCAGGGTCAGGGTCAGGGTCAGGCCTCAGGGTCAGGCCTCAGGGTCAGGCCTCAGGGTCAGGCCTCAGGGTCAGGGTCAGGGTCAGGGTCAGGGTCAGGGTCAGGCCTCAGGGTCAGGGTCAGGGTCAGGGTCAGGGTCAGGTTCAGGTTCAGGGTC